TCCTGCTGATCCGTCATATCTTGCGCCCCTGGCCGACGCGCCCTCATGGATGCGCTGGCCCAGGCAGTGCTGCAGCCACCTGAGACTCTCCTAGTAGGGTTAGGGGTTAGGGTTAGTTTAGGGGTAGGGATAGGGAAATTTTTGGCCATGCACATCCCTACTAGACGGTCTGTTGATTCCTTGGAATTTCAGTATGGCTTATGTTTTCCCACCAGTAGCTTTGGTTGCTCAGATTGTACAGGAATTCAGGTCTGACAATGCGAGAGTATTAGCAATTATTCCATACTGGACAAACAGGAGCTGGTTCTCAGAGATAGAACAGAAAGAACAGATGGCACTGACTCATTGGGAACTTCTGTAATAGAATACATCCTGGAAAACAAAGATCTGACAGTTGAAACATTAAAGATGTTCAAATTGACAGCTTGGCTGCTGCTAAGATATTACTTAAAGAACATTGTATTAATGACAGCATAAGTGATGTTATAGTATTCTGTCCTCCACTTGAAAATCCACAACTAGAATTTATCTCAGGATATGGCAAATGTTTCTCCATTGGTGTGTTGATAGAGATTGTCTTTCTCCTATACCTCCAATTCCATGCATTTTTTCTTTTTTACAAGGTGGGTTCCAGACTAGCCTGAGTGTTTCTACTTTTAAAGTCCAAGTGTCCGCTCTTTGCCATTTCCTTGTCCAAGATTTGGCTTCTAACATTCTAATTCACAGATGTTATAAGGCTATTTTTATCAAGCGTCCTCTACGTCATTCTTCTTTTCCTAGGTGGGATTTGTCAGTGGATCTGAAGGCTATGTGTGAAGCTCTTTTTGAACCCTTGGAATAAGTTCCATTGAAGATTCTATCATTGAAGACAGCATTTTTAGTCGCAATCACTTCTACTATGAGGATTGGAGAAATACAAGCATTTTCATCGTTGTTGAATTCACAGCGTTTTCACCAAAAAAAGGTTGTTTTACATTCAAAACCATACTTTTTACCTAAGGTTATCTCAAGACAGACTATCAAACAACCTAATTTTCTACCATCTTTCTGCCAGTCTAAATCATCAGATTCGGAAAGAAAATGGCATCTATTGGATGTTATAATTTACCTACACCAATCAGCAGAATACAGAACTTTGGATCATCTATTTATTAATTTTTGAGTTTCTGCCGGAGGCAAAAAGGCTTTCTTTAATATTGATTGGACCCTGGGCAAGAATTTTACTTGGGCTCCCTGTACCCTGCCATCCTCACTCCCTGGCATGCAGTCACACTCTTTACAACATTGTCCCCCTCCTCTCCCAAAAATCACATTCAGATACACAGGATGACACTCATACTGATACAAACACTGACACACACAGGTGCATACACAATGACACACATATAGACATACATGTTGATACACAGACACACAGATACACATGCAGACAAAAAGATACACAGACACACAAAACAGACATACAAACAGATACATAAAAAATATACACACACACAGACACACAGATAGATACACTGACACACAGAGAGATACACTGATGCACAGATACACATACAGACACAGATAAACATACAGACACACATGCAGACACAAAGATACACATATAGACACACAGTTATACACATACAGATACACAGATACACATGCAGGCACACATATACACATACAAATACACAGATACACATGCAGACACACAAATACAAATACAGATACACATACAGACACACAAATACACATAGAATGTGATGGCAGATAAGAACCATTTGGGCCATCTACTGCAGTATGCTGAGTTTTCTAAATACTTTAATTAATCCTTAATTTATTGTTAATTATAGACCCTGAGCCCAGCTCCTCAACCACTCCAACAGAAGCCGGGACAATGGACAGTCTTATTTATTTCATAAAGTTATTTTTATTTTATTTAGTTCCCAGCCAGGAGAAGATGAGCACTAGGACCATGCAGAGCACTTCAACGATAACTTTGACAATTGTTTGAATATAGTTTCCAGGTAAGGCTTGGTTAACAGCGTAGATTGCACCTGCTTAGAATAAAGGCAGCAAGGAAATACTATGGCTGTGTTTCCTCAAAAGTTAAACAAATTAAGGAGACTTCGCAATACGCCATTCCCCTCGTTCCTTATGTGCTCAAGGAGATAAAAATCTGTACATCACTAAATGGAGGATTTTATTAGTTAATGGCAACCATATTAAAGGAGCACTATTGAGTCAGGAATACAAACATGTATTCCTGACCCTATAGGGTTAAAACCACCATCTAGCCTCCCTAAATATTGTAAAATCTTACTTTTATTCAAGTCTGCAGCTGCATACTTTGTCCCTGTTTCCTTTAGACCTGCCCACTGGCTGCTTCCCCGTAGGTTTGGCTGACACTGACAAAGAGGCAGATCAGGGGCAGAGCCAGCACAATTCAAACACAGCCCTGGTCAATCAGCATCTCCTCATAGATATTAATTGAATCAATGAATCTCTATGAGGAAAGTTCAGTGTCTGCATGCAGAGGGAGGAGATACTGAATGGATGCATTTTAGGCAGCCATGACCCAGGAAGGATCTCTAACAGCCATTTGAGGAGTGGCCAGTGAAGGTATCACTAGGCTGTAATGTAAACACTGCATTTTCTCTGAAAAGACAGTGTTTAGAGCAAAAAGCCTTAAGGTAATGATTCTACTCACCAGAACAAATTCAATAAGCTGTAGTTGTTCTGGTGACTATAGTGTCCCTTTAACATTGAATGCACTGTTGTATTAAGCAGCATAAACCAGACATAACGTCAAAAACATACTATTTCCCAATTACTGTATATACTCGAGTATAAGCCGAGTTTTTCAGCACATTTTTTATGCTGAAAAAGACCCCCTCGGCTTATACTCGAGTGAGGGTCTGTATTATGGCAACAGACCAGGACGGCCAGGCTCATGACAAGCCCGGCGGACATGGGGGGGCCCGCAGAAGCTCTTACTTACCTTCCCAGCAGCTCCCTTCAGCTCCCCTGTCTAAATCTCGCAAGTCTCGCGGCTGTCAGAGCGTTGCCACGGGTTACCATAGCAACGCTCTGTGCAGCATGCTGGCCGTGAGATTTACACAGGGACCTGAAGGGAGCTGCTGGAAAGGTAAGTAACAGCTTGCACCTCCCCTCCACCCCGCCACTGCTCACTGGTCCTCCAGTGAATATCATAGCCCCCCTCCCGGGCCAGGTAACAAGCAGGGAGGGGGGGACTAGTTCAACAATTAAATATTTAATAAATAAAAATATTAAAATAATTAAAATGCCCTCCCCCACCCAATTTTTACACACACTACACAAACACACATACACTCTGCATTTTATACACACACACTGCATTCACACACAAAATTAGGTCCCTCGGCTTATATTTAGGTCGGCTTATACTCAAGTATATACGGTACATTTGAAATTACAGTGGAGATATTCAGTCTCAGCATTGCAGCTCAGCTACACTTCCTTTTGCTGAATCTCAAAATCTGTGCACCGTCATTTCGTTCTCTTCTGTCCATGATGTCGGCCGTTCTCCCTTCTGTGTAATATTATTTATCAATTGTTGGTACATCTGATTGCCAATTGAATAGAAACTTTGCTTAAAGGGACACTCCACTACGCAAATAAAATAAACCACTGTTTAGTAGATATACCCCAAATTAACGTTTGCATGCATTTTTCATTGGGAGCATATATCAAAACAGGTTACAATAGCTGACGATCACATGTTGAAATATTTGCAAGCCCTCCCCTTCTAACCCAGCCCAGACTTCCCAATTCAGCTCAATAAGAAGTCTTTGCAAGGCAGGTGCTCCGGGCAATTGCTGCCTTGAGTCTAGCTTCACCAAGCTAACCAACCAGGAAGTAACAGGACCTCCTGTCTGATTGAAAGCCAGGAGGTGTATCCACGTTAATTTATTATAGTGCCAAATCCTACTGGAATATGTACTATTCCTAGAATGAAATACCACACTCTTCACATTAAGCTATTCAACAAGCTAAAGTGGTTTAGGGGTCTGGAATGATTCATCATCAAGATGTGTCAATTTGACTCCTGTACATAAAGAGAATAAAAGTAATTTATTTTTTTGTATGTTTTTGTTGGAAAACTAGGGCAGTCAGCAAAAAATTAAAAAGATCCAGACATAGCAAGATAAAGGAATATTAAATAAAATGTATTTTTGGCAACAGAGGCTCTTTAAGGCACCAACAGAGCATTGCTTTATGTTGCTTTTGTTTTTTCAGCTTAACATTTGTAGGAATCACATGCAGAAAAAAGACAAACAAACAGTAAATCATAATCAACCCCTTTAGCCACAATAACAAGTGCTAACAGTTGCCACTAGTTCCTCTCAGAAAGCAGTACATTCAAGAGAATAGATTGTGCTGAGGAGCAATTGGTTTGCAAAGTGGGCTCAATTGTACAACCCTACATTTATTTGAAGAGTGTAACAAAATACATATATTTTGTATTGGGAAAGGCTGCTGTCTAAATGTTTCCCTTTAGTTATGCTCTATAAATGTAGGGATGCATAAGTGAATCCACTTTGTAAACCATTTGCATCTCAGTGCAATATTTTCTCTTGAATTCATAAGAATTACAGTACTGTTCTTTAACAAGTTCAAGTGCATTTTTTGCAGCATTTAACAATTGTTTTACTTGTTAAATAAAATAAAAAATGTCTGTTATTTTCACGGGGAGTAAAAATAAATCTAATGATCACAGCCAACACAATGCCAGGTGTTAATTCTTTTTAAAATAGGTTTTTCAGTAAATTGTGTTAAATTTATGAGTGAACTATTTTTTTAAATGTCTTTTTTTTATTAATGTTAGCTTTGTTTTTGTTTCCCAGTAGAATAAATTTTTCCTACTACAAATTTAATTATTTTTACAGCAATGTAACTGAAAATAATAAGGCAGATGGTGATAAATAAGATGATGTCCAACAGAAATTGCTGGTACCACGGCTGTTGGAAAGAATAGGGGCGTAGGTGACTGCCTCCTCCAGACTGGATGATGTGCTCCACCCATCGCACTAATTTCTGGTCTGGGGAAAACGGTTGAGACTTGCGGATCACACTGAGCTTCATTGCGGAGGACTTGTAGCTGTTGATAAAATTTAAAGAAAGAATGACTGATACCTTGAAAATCATGTTTTCTATACTAAACTCTGTGTACCAGCTAATAGTATTTATTTCTACGCAAGAAAACATAATTTATCATTCTCTTTTACAGTACAGACATTTGTATGTAAAATACAACATTGTTAGATATGTGAGGCAATGACACCAAATCATGGCTTCCTAAAACAACTCCCTGATCAGGTGACCTTTGCATCATTCAATTTCATGCATTTATGGGTTATTAATTGGAAACAAATCCTGCTTCCCACAAATCAATAGTGCTACATTGATTACAGATCACATTTAAGATATCTTCTAACCTACGTATCAAGCATAGCGAGACCTGCCTATCAGAGCACTGTGATTGGTTGACTTCTAACACCTCCAATTGCTGCCAGGAAGCTAGCACTAAAGATTTATTTTACCCTCCAATAGGAACATTGCAATTTCTACAAAACTGCAATAACAATAAAATTAAAAATAGAATGCATTGCAGGTTTAAAGCTACAGGGCCCCTGCACCCAGACCACTTTATTCAGATGAGATGCAGTTGAGATCCTTTAACTAGGACTAGCTAGTTAGCTACAGATTTTTCTGGATATAATTGATCTGTATCTTCTATCTATGTCTGTGGTTATTGAGTGTAAAGGAACTCGTGCACGGAGCAGTGAGTTCCAGAAAAAAATAAAATCGATGAGTTGAGGCAAGAACTGTTGAAGAATTAAAAAGCAAGCAGCTCCATGGGTAGTCTAAGTGTATTCTATTGAGCAACATACAGCGTTGCTCACTAATCCCAGAATAGTTGCGAATCGATTGAGGAATCTCAAACTGTAAGCTAAAATAGCTGCAATAAAAAACATTTTCCAAATCAAACATTTTCTTAATTGGCTTATTCAACCTAAACTTTGAAACTCACTGGTCAGACCCCATCAGTGTTTTAATGAATCTATCACAATAGTAGATGGAGATTAATATATTTCACATTCATTATTTTTCTCAGCATTTGGCACCAACACGTAGAAGAAATCCTTTTTCAGGGATCATCCTCCCAAACTAATCATAAACCTACTCAATACATTTCTCACACCTGTCATCATGCCAGTTTCAATACTTAGTGAATAATCATAAAGTATCATGTATCATAAAGCAACCATCTTTCAAGTCTATAGTGCAATTAGTTATAAAACATATATTCAACGCTCGAAAGGGAGGCATTTTTTCAATGGGTTCAAGATTGGGCATGTATTGTACTGTTTGAATTGCATTATGTTTACAAGAACAAAATTTCCAGTTGGCTTCTGCGCAAGCCCAAAAGTTACTGTACACTTGCTTTGTCTGTCGAGTGAAAAATAAAGAATTTAAAAAAACAAAACATATATTCAAAGCTAAACATGTTGATATCGTGATTTGAATAAATTCCCCTAAAAAGAACAATGAGATGAATAAGATCAGAAGTTATATCAAGAGACCTACCATGGGTTTTCTATTATATGTCTGATAGTGTTTGCCAAATGTTCTGCCTTAATCTTAATAACTGGGATAAATCTGTTCCCATCTGTTTGGCCTCTATTCGAGCCAAATTGTCAAACTGATCTCCAAAAAGAGGAATTCCCAACACCGGAACACCATGATATATAGCTTCCATCAAACTATTCATTCCTCCATGAGACACCAGAAGACGTGCTTTAGGATGTCCTGTAAACGATCAGCAAAATAAAAATTACTGGGATGCTTAAACACTAAACGTAAATTTGCATTTGGCCACATATTCCATAAAGCTCATCCTATTCACTACAAAAAAAATAGTATAAAAGTTTTGTTTCATGTATTTTGCAGTATGAAATTGAATCCATAAAGCCTCACTCACCCTCATTTATACTCTAGAAATGATTACCAGCCTATAGAGGAATACATTTCTCTACCAGATGCCGTTATTTACGGATATATAGTCTTCGAATTTGCTGACTCTATAGGCACACAGAGCACTTAATCTGACAATCGCTAGAGGTGCTCCTGCCCCAATAGCCAAGTTAAACTCGGCTATTTCAATTTGATGGTATCATAGAGACCATTTCCTTGGCGCAGAGTGCCTTTTGGTTGGCATTAGTGATGTCCCGAATGGTTCGCCATGGACTCATCATTGAGTAAACTTTGACCCTGTACCTCACAGTCAGCAGACACATTCCAGCCAATCAGCAGCAGACCCTCCCTCCCAGACCCTCCCACCTCCTGGACAGCATCCATTTTACATTCATTGTGAAGCTGCATTCTTAGTGAGCTGTCCAGGAGGTGGGCGGGTCTGGGAGGGAGGGTCTGCTGCTGATTGGCTGGAATGTGTCTGCTGACTGTGAGGTACAGGGTCAAAGTTTACTCAATGATGAGTCCGCGGCGAACCGTAGGCATGTGAACTAGTAGGCATGTGCACTACACTCCCAAAGTTTTCCTATGGAGAAACATTGAATTAGAGGAGGTAACCTACACTCATGATCTGAGCCAAAGTGGCAGGACAGAGACTGAAAGGAAAGTAAATCTCAACTTTTAAACCCTCACATATTATTTATATTTAAAGTCACTTATCTCAGATAACACATAAACTTAATTTTTGTCACATTAAGCTTTTTCCTAATGTGTTATATTTGTGAATACACTCTGCATTTTATTATACAAGAGACCCAGAAAGTACTTCGATTTGTGTTTTGTGTTTTGTACAGTAGTAGTATTGTCTGCATTATTCTTTACCTATAAGATCGTTCTGGGAAATCCACTCCATAAGCTTGACATTTGGGGCAAGTTCCAAGTCATTGGGCCACAATGACCTTTTATATCTCCAAATAACTTTTTGAGGAATTTGAGCAAAACCTTTGTTCATTTCCTGTAAAAGTTCCTCCACCGGGCATGAATCTAACATTGATCCCATTGACACAACAATAAAGCCAGATTCACCTGATTGTGAAATAAAATCTACCAATTCCTACAGAAAACATAAAAAAATTTTTTATTTGAATTTGAATCCAGAAACATCATAAAGAAAACATAATAAAAAAAGCACAAAAAGAAAGGGAAATGGGTCAGAAAGTGCTACCTGGCAAAGATATACAATACAATAGATCATCAGGATAACAAACCATAAGAAATAATCACACAGGTATCCAGTCAAAAGCCCTGACCTGTGGTTACATAGAAGATAGCTAGGGTGAATGAGTTTACCTGGTGAGTGGTGGTATGTAGGAGGGGCATCACACCGGAAAGGAAGGGGAAAGAAAAAGATGGTGAAACACCACTAGACCTCTGCAGCCATAAAAGAAGCTGAGTAAGAAGTTCGAAGCATTGCTACAGAATTAAATCTTTAGAGCAAACATTGCCAAGAGTGGAAGATGCCCGTCATCTGCGCTTTAATTTCCATCAATTTAATGGACACCTCTTATTGTGCTATATTGTCATCTCAGTATAAAGAAATTAGCCAGAATTGGGGTATTTTGAGGTTGGGTAAGCCTTTCTATAGCTGCAATAACAAATTAAGTCTAATTGTTAGTGTAAGGGACAAGGTTGGAATAGGTCATCGTGAATTTTAAGCCGGTTGGGTTATTGCCAAATGGGTTTTTGGAAGTTACACAGCAATCTAGGTTCTTAGAAGACTCTACTGTATCACGTGTAATGTTTCTGTTTCACCTCTAGGTGGTGAATTCTGAAAGTGGCCATCCAGGTAATGATTGCACCTGGTATTAAAAAGCTTTATAATTGGATCTGCTACTTTGGATCTGCTAATTGGATCTGCTACTTATAAACTTGATCTGCTACTGAAAAATTAACGACTCACCTGTAAAACTGGCTCTGCTAGTTTTGCCATCAAGCCACCAATGTAATGAACATGAGGCAGAAGTGGGCGTGGAAATTCAATGGTAAAATCCACATTATAAAACCATAGCTCAGCTTTCAAGTATAGATCTGAAATGACCGGTCTGGATCCAACAGGAAAATGTTCATTAATGACATCTTCGAATACTGCCTCAATTTTTTTCTGAACCACATGAGAACCAACATACATGAAAATATTCTTTATACGTTGAAAGAAGTCCATTCGGTCACTGAGTTGAGACTGATATAAAGGGACGTAGGACAATGGAGTTGGCAGTCCAACCTGTGGAGCATTGGCAAAGATTCCAGGGGAAAAAGCAATGTACGGTAATCCTAACTTCTCCGAGATAAGAAATGTACATGGATTGAATGCATCTATGAAAGCAATATCAAACTTTTCATCCCTTAGTGATTTCATAATATTCGACTGGTTTAGTGAAAA